GCCCTGCATCAAAACTGCTTCCATAAAGAAAAAAGGACAGGTCATTGTCATGGGAGACTCTCTTCTGATGGGAACAGAAGGCCCAATATGTCGACGGGACCCACTTCCTAAGGAAGTCTGCTGCCTCCCTGGGGCCTGGGTTAAAAATGTGAAGAGAAAACTTCATACACTGGTACAGCCGTCAACAGCCGTCAGATTATTATCCATTATTGCTTTTTCATGTAGGCAGCAACAAAGTTGCAATTAGAAGTCCAAGGGCAATCAAGAGAGACTTCAGGGCCTTGGGACGACTGGTTAACAGATCAGGAGCACAAATGGTTTTTAACTCTGTCCTTCCAGTTGCAGGGAATGATGTTGGAACAAAGAGGAAGACGCAGCTGATAAATACCTGGCTCTGAGACTGGTGTCACCGGCAGAACTATGGCATTTTTCATCATGGGTCAGTCTACACAACACCAGGCCTGCTGGTGACACACGGGGTACACCTTTCTCAAAGTGGGAAAAGGATCTTTGCACAAGAGTTAGGAGGGCTCATTGAAAGAGCTCTAAACTAGATTTGAAGCGGGGAAAGGGATAAAACTGGGCTCGCTAGAGATAAGCCTGGGGGCAACACGCCAGGGACGTGTGCCAATGAGGTCTTTCAGTCTGCTCCACGATGTGCTGAGTACACTGGAGCACGTCTGAAATGTCTCTGTACTAATGCGCGCAGCACATTAGCCATCTCGGTGGGGGTAGGGAATAGCCATCAATGCGGCAGCAATGACGCAAGGGTTGTCAATGCGTTAGAAACCACAGAAGAACCTGAGAGCAGTCACATAGGAATTAGGGCTTCTCCCTCAAAAAAGGTGGCAGGATCAATAGCCCAAGTGAAGTACATCTACAGCAATGCATGCAGCAACAAACAGGAGGAGTTGGAAGCCACTGTGCACCTGGAAAACTATGATATAGTTGCCATCATGGAAACATGGTGGGATGATTCACTCAACTGTAGTGCTACAATGGATGGCTATAAACTCTTCAGAAGGGGTAGGCAAGGAAGGAGAGGCAGTGGGGTAGCCCTGCGTGTTAAGGAGTGTTTTGACTGTCTAGAGTTTGACGATGGTGATGGAAATGTCGAGTGTTTATGGGGAAGGGTCAGGGGGACAGGCCAA